CGGGTAGAACAACAGATCCCAGCAGACCTCACCGCAGCAGTGGAGGAGAACAGGCAGGGTTAAGTCCGTATCCTTTTGAATCCTCAGACAGAGACCGGCCTCAGCGCAGCCTCTAGTTCACCAGTCAGCGAGGAAGAGACCATGCAGCCTTCCCACCAACACTTACAAAGGTCCCGGGAGGAGCCGGCCTGAGAGGGGAGGGAAGGGGAGGAGCCGGCCTGAGAGGGGAGGGAAGGGGGAGTACACAGGCTGTTGCTGAGCAACTAACCCCCTCCCCTCATGTGTCCTTTGTTCTGGAGAGGTTACAATGGAGGGAAACAGCAGACATGTCCTGGCTTGTCTCGCTGCCCCTTTCTCCACAATGGGTCTTCTAGAGAATTACCTTAAGCTGGTTCTGTCTCAAACACATTAAGGTTAGGTGATGAAAGAGAGGAGACATTTGAATACTCATTTTAAAATAAATAAATAAGTAATTATTTTTAAAAGAGGTACTGAACTCTGGAAGCTGTGGCCAAAAAGGAAGCCAGAGGGCAAAATACTAGTCACCAGTATTGACATTGCCTTCTTGCAGCTGATCTTTCTCTTTCAGCAAGGAGTACAGGGAGCACCACAGTAATGACATTGCCAAATCTCACTCCACATCTCTTGAGACAAGCAGTCCTCTAGAGACAGCAGTGCCTTTCATCTCACACTGTATACAGCTATCAGACTGTAGGTACAGGAGTACTTTGTAGAGATGCACCAACATTTCGTGTTTCAAAATATTTTGGCTGAAATTGGTACTTTGGGCAAAATGCCGTTAGTACCATAATGGCTGAAAATGCTGCTGAAAATTCAGTGCATCCCTAGCTTCTCTTCTCCCCGCTGGATGCCGGTCTGTGTCCCCTCTGATGCCCGCTACTCTCCCCACCTGTGTAGGCAGAGGCAGCGGGGATCCAAGGGGACATAGAGGATCCAGCTGCCAGCACCCAGCGGGGAGGAGAGCAGCTTTCAGGAGGCCGAGCGGGGCACCCCACTTGGCCTCCTGTGCAGGCAGAGAAGTCAGAATGGAGAGCGGGTTACAAGCATGCAGTGAAATAACTGAGGACATAGTATGCTTACTGTTTCCCCAGTTATGAATGAACAGGGAGTGCTCTACATCACTTCCTGTTCATTCACGATTGTGGACATAATAACTAATACTATCGCCACAGTTTATGAATGGACAGGAGCAGTTCAGAATAGAGGCTTCCTGTTCATTTCTAACAGGGGATGCAGAAAAAGTGATTTAGGGCTCAATCTCTTTTTCATTTTTTAAAAGGGAAATATCAGGGGTAGTCCTGCCGAGAGTAAAGTAAAAAAAAAATTATAATAATAATAAAAATAATTGAAAAATAATTTTAAGGAGGTTGTGAAAAAGGCATTTTCAGTGTTAGTTTCAGCCTGACAACATTTTTATTTTCGGTTAGGCCCTTTTAAACCTGGAAGTGCATTGTTTTTTTAGGAGGTATTCAAGGTCTGTCAGGCTGGCCATAAACTCTTCAAAATCTATTAATTCCCCAATCTACACTAAACAATGTGAGTGGATGAATACCCACTGCCGGCTATTGTTTTTAGTTGCTGAATACCCAAACAATGTGCGCATCTGATTGGATGCAGGCGCTGTTCTGCCAATATTTTTGGAACTGCTACTTTTGTCGACCAGAGGATGGTGTCCACAGGTCTTCCCATGGCTCAGAATTGGGCTGTTTCAACCAAAATCTGATGAAATGTGAGCAGTATAAGGCCAGGTTTAGTCTACCAACTAACTAAACACAATGCATCCCAAATGTGGCTGATAACTTAGCTTCACTACTGTTGATCAGTTGGGCAGAGTCATTGTAGTGGCAGAGCAGTGGCAGTGGCTCATACACAAACCTCTACAATCTGCAAATCTCTACATCAAATAAAATACCTGAAATAGGAGGGCACAAGCACGTAAGAAGATGAAAGTCACATAAAAATGACTCATAGATTGCAATATTAACCTACAACATGTGCTCACTAAAACTAAAAATTATTTTCAATTCAACAAACTGTTTCCAGTGTTTCCTAGACTACTAATAGACTAGTAAATTTGTAGTCAAACAATGTTTACAACTTCACTTACCAAAAGCCCTCATTCACACCTACAAAGTAGGTGTGATTAGGGATTCCTGCGTCAGGAACTTGTGAATTCATGCAGCAGGAATCCCAGATCTGCTGGTTACAAGCAGCAGCTCTCTCCTGTTCAAGTTAATGACTAAACCTACATTTTGGCCTCATTCACACTACTAATAGCTGGCCCGTACAGATCCGTGCTGCGTGCACGGCCGTATCGGGCCGCTCCCGGGAAGGACAGGTGCTGTGTGTGATTGCACGCAACAGCCTGTTCCCTATGGGAGTATGCGGCCGTACGCTCACCCGAACTGCATGTCTGTGTGGGTGTCCCTGCTCGGACGCAGACAGGATCCATCCTGTCTGCTTACGAGTATGGACACCTGCACCCGCATTGACGTGCAGTTCGGGTGAGTTTACGGCGGCGTACTCCCATAGAGAAGAACAGGCTGCTACGTGCAATCACACCCAGCACCTGTCCTTCCCGGGAGCAGCCCGATTTGGCTGTGCACGCAGCACATACGCCGCCGTAAACTCAACCGAACTGCACGTCCATGCGGGTGTCCGTACTCGTAAACAGACAGGATGGATCCAGGTATACCCGCACAGACATGCAGTGCGGGTGAGCGCACGACCGCAAACTCCTATAGAGAAGAACAGGCTGATGCGTGCAATCACACGCAGCACCTGTCCATTCCAGGAGCGGACCGATACGGTCGCGCATGCAGCACGGATCTGTACGGGCCGGCTGTTAGTCGGGTGAACGATGCCTTTTGGTGTGAATGAGGGCTAACTTTTTATAAACTGCAAGAATGATATCAGAGTCACAAAATTCAAAGTGGTTCATTCTTACAACATTCCCTTACTAGTTTGTTATTCTTTTTTTTTTCTGGAAACCACACTGAAAGGAAAGCCTATAAACATAACAAAAATACATCCAAAATAAATTATATTAACTACAAATTTCACAAACAGTATAGTAACCTTGCTCTTTGGGAATGAGCTCAGGATATTTCAAAAATGGAATTAAAGGCTACTAAAATAAGTATATGCCACCGTGGGAAGCAGATATATTTCAGGCCCAAATACGAGTTCCAAGAGCCTGTGGTTCACTAAACTTCCACATAGCTTTTACGAGAATGTATTTATTTGTGTTACTGATTTTGCATATTATACACTGACATGCCTCCTCAGAATCAAATAAAGCTGAGAGAATAGAAATATGGACTGCAGGCTCTGGTTCTGTGCCAGGATTTCCAACCTGTTTTTTTTTTTTATTGACATTAAAGCCAAAGAAAAACTGGAGGAAAAAGCTGGAGTTACACATTTTTTACAGACACACCATCTGCTCAAATAATTTGTCAATTAATTTATTAATAATTATAATAATCATAATATTTTCACATCTTACAATAGTATTGGCATTTATAAGACTGTAGTAATATACAGCTATATCAGTTACATTTAGTAAAGTTATTTCTACTTATATCTCTGAGTAACCTGAAGAGCTTTAAAATTACTAAGCAGTTTCAAACCATTATTAACAATACCTTTTGCTGCCAGAGCCTTTTTTTTTTTTGTACACTATAGGTGATGCTTTAAAAGCTTTTACAGGTTATTATTTTAGCGTTAACCATGAATAATGGCCCTATAATTATTGCTTTCTGTCTGGCGTGCCCGGCGATACCTAACATGTGTGGCGCAATCATTGTTTATGTACATAGGCATGTGCGTGTACGTGGGGACGGGTTGCTTTAAAAACATTATTTGGTGTTTTATCTTTTTTTATTGAACGTTATTTTTAAAAAACAAAACTTTTTAATAGACCCCTAATGTCATCTTTGCACTTCAGTGAAGCTAACCAAGCACAGATCGAGCTTGATCACCGATATGTAAGAAAAAAAAAATACCCACAATGTAGAGCTCTTTCTATTTGCTGCCTCTTCACATGTTCACATACTGTTCTAACGCTAGCCACTTTATCCGAAACCCACAATCTTATGCTTACCTGTAGGGCATTTTAAAATGTTTACATTGGTACATGTCCCCATGTCCTTTGTTTGACAATCCCTTGCCTATTAGCTTTAAAAATGTCCAGAATTATGAAATTTCCCCTAGCAAAGTGGCCACGTGAGTACATACCAGGGAAGAAAGTGGTCTGTAGATCTGTGAGTCAGATGCCAATAGAAGACAGTTCCTATGAATTCAAAGAATCACAAATCAGATTATCCCACAGGTTTTTGAAATGTCTATTGACAAATAACGAGAGATTTAGAGACATGAAGTTTAAAGACATTTATTTATACAACAAATAATTTGCAGGTATTGGCTAATCTTAAAGTTTTGTAGCTACCACTCCAATCTCGCTCCCGTGATGGACTGCAATCTCAATACAAATTACTAAGCTAAGCACAAGAGTGTAGTCCATCATTGGCATGGGCTAATATACAACACACATGGGGACCATGGGGAACAAAAGTAGCCATCCTCCAGAAAGAAGGACAGTGTCAGCACCAATTCAGAGATGATTTGAAGATCTACAGCTGAGTGATACACAAATAAGATACATTTGTGTTAATAAGGTACTTGAATGCATTTTTATCTCCTGAGTTTAGTGTCACTTTAAGTAGTGATGAATGCATCAACTATGCGCCAGGATTACTATACTGGCCCATGGCTTTGGTATGTACTCATGTTGAGCTTGTGCCCACTGTACCATTTCTCTTTAGCTGACTTCTCGTGCATTTGAAATGGCACCTAAGTTTGCATAGCTGCCACCTTATTTGTTTTCAACTAATGTTGTTAAATTTGAAGTATAACTAATACTTGCATTATATAACACAATAGTATAGTACCTGACAGAACGTGTTTTCTCTATTTTTAAGGCTGCCTGGCGTCTCTATTCTACAGATGTGAGTCATTCCTACCTCACAGCCACATGGTATTACTATGACAGTATCCTGCCTTCATTCAGGTGAGCGCTGCCACTAAGGTGGGCCTGTTTTGTGGTGTGTACTTAGCTAAGTCAGTACAATAGGAGGACTCCTACAACAACATAACAACATCAGAACATTTGTGTAACACTCTTTACATGTCTTTAATGAAAAGGATGTTTCCCAGGAAGATAATCCCACCCTTCCTCTTCCATAATTTAGCACTGAAGGGACATCCCTAAACTGTTTACAGGAGAATGTAAACACTATAGAGATTTAGGATACTTATGAAAACAACTGCTTCCAGTAAGGAAACAAATACAAATGCCACAAGGTAAAGCTGATGTCACAGACATTTCAGTAAACTGGCATTATTTATGTATCCTGAGCCAGCACTGAGCTACTAAGACAATAATATGTTGGTATGTTGAATTCCATTACTAGATAATGGTCTGTTTCTGCAAATTATTGAATCTTTGGTTTCAACATCAGGTTAGCCATACTCAGATACCTCCCTTAGGGCCTCTGTCAACAGGCTTTGGACTTGTGATGATGGCATTTGATATCAGTTTGACACTCTTCTGAGATTGTTAGGAAATCACTAAAGGGTAAATTTGACCTGCAGTTGACTTATTTCTGGTCTGCATTTGACCTGCTTCAAGCAGTTTTTGAATACCATTAAGATTTGTATTGGAAAACCAAAATTACAAAACCCATTTGAAGCAAACAAAAGCACGTTGACTCAGGCCCTTACAATGTTGCATTGATCAGTTTGCCGTTTCTTGGTGTTATTTTGTAATATTTCAAGAAGAAAATGATGAAAAAGAGGCTTGGTAGAAGGCTACCATAGTTCCTGGTAGCTACATATTTCCTTGTATAATATCACAATAGGAAGGTTAGAAAGGTCCCCTCCATTTAAGAGTTAAAGAGAAACCATCACTTTGCCCATTTGGTGTCTCTAAAAAGACCCCCTCACCCCTAATACACTGATACTTCTCCAGAAATCTCGAATCACACCTTCCTCTGCCTCATCCTTTGCAAAAAATACCCGGTGCTTCCCAGTATGGGAAAGCATGTTATCTCCTCACATGTGACAGTGTTTGAATCTAGCAGCCAATTACTAGGCCTGAGCACTGTTAAATGGTGATAGGGATGATGTCACTACTCTTTTTAGGCTTTGACACCAGCCAACACCAGATCTTTTGGTGCCAGCTAAGACAGAGGAAGGAGGTGGGGGAAGCCTG